GTTAGTAATATTTTTAGTATTTTTAATGTTTTTTTAGTATGTTAGTAGTATTTTTTATTATTATATTTAAGTATGTTATTAGTATTTTTAATGTTTTTTAGTATGTTAGTATTTTTAATGTTTTTTTAGTATATTAGTAGTATTTTTTTATGTTTTTTGGTATGTTAGTAGTATTTATTATTTTTTTAGTATGTTAGTATTTTAGTAGTGTGTTTAAGTATTTTTTTGTATGTTAGTAGTCTAAAATTTTTTGTATGTTAGTATTTTTTAATGTGTTTTTAGTATGTTAGTAATATTTTTAGTATTTTTAATGTTTTTTAGTATGTTAGTATTTTTTTATTATTATATTTTAGTATGTTATTAGTATTTTTAATTTTTTTTAGTATGCTAGTATTTTTTATGTTTTTTAGTATGTTAGTAGTATTTTTTTTGGGGGGGGGTATGTTAGTAGTTTTTCTATTGTTTAAGTATGTTATTAGTATTTTTCAATGTTTTTTTAGTATGTTAGTATTTTTAATGTTTATTTTTAGTATATTAGTAAAATTTTTCATTAATTTGTTTGGTATGTTAGTAGTATTTTTATTATTTTTTTAGTATGTTAGTAGTTTAAAAAAAAATTGTATGTTAGTAATATTTTTAGTATTTTTGCTGCATGCTTTGATAATTCTTCTTTATTTTTTTCTTTTGCGAGTCGAGATAGTTCTCGTCTTAAACATTTCATTGCATTGTTGACCTTGTGTTGATTTTGCACATGACAAATGGAACCTAACCTGTAACACGCCATTCTTCTGTCTGTTTTAGGCAAAGAATAAACTCCTCAGCTGTATGGAGTTGTACATTAAAGACAAGATCATTCTTGCTGCTAAAGCTATTGCTGAGTCCGCCATAGAAAAGATCAGCGATGGTGACGTTATTCTAGTTTATGGATGGTGAGACACTTCACGTGTTTTAACTGTGGCTGTAAACCGTCTCCTGCACTGCTTCACTTTAATAAGCACAAATGTGTTGAGACACTTTCTCTTCCGTTTTTGTTTGGCTTTCTTCCTTCCACAACAACTCAACATTTTTACTTCTGTCAGCTCTTCTCTGGTCAACCACATCCTGTTTGAGGCCTTTGAGAAAAGAAGGAAGTTCCGCGTCATAGTTGTGGACAGCAGGCCGCGGCTGGAGGGCAGGGAGGCTCTGAGGTGCCTCGTCCAGAGAGGCATCAGCTGCACCTACGTCCTCATCTCGGCTGTCTCCTACATCCTTCCAGAGGTAATGGGAAAGCCGTCGTAGATTACAGAAGGTGCTGATTCTGCCACGTTAAAGCGGTTCGTCAGAAGATTCGTCTGGAAGAAAGTTTTTGTTCTTTTCTAGGTATCGAAGGTGTTCCTTGGCGCTCACGCTCTCTTGGCCAACGGCTACGTCATGTCTCGAGTTGGGACTTCTCAGATTGCTCTGGTGGCCAAAGCTTTTAACGTGCCTGTGCTGGTTTGTTGTGAGACCTACAAGTTCTGTGAGCGGGTGCAAACGGACTCCTTCGTATCCAACGAACTCGGTACGGAAAGTCTTCAGCTTCTGCTCCCTATAAATGATTTAAAATCCTTTTTGTTAACGAAGCACCTGCTGTTAAATCCATCTGGTAATTTTCATCATTCCTCTCCAGATGACCCAGATGACCTCATCGTGACCCGTAAAGGTAAAACTCAGTTGGAGAACTGGCAGGAAGTGCCCTCTCTTGGTCTGCTCAACCTGGTGTATGACGTGACGCCGCCTGATTTTGTGGATCTAGTCATCACAGAACTGGGAATGATCCCGTGCACCTCAGTCCCAGTGGTGTTACGAGTTAAAAACGTGGACCAGTGAACAGCCTTCATTTCAGTTTGTGTGCACGAGTCCTTGCACACAACACACTATATCGTGCTTTTAGCATGCAATAAATGTATATCGGAAATGGCATAACCTTTTAAATTGTGTTCCTCTTGTTTTTATGGTTCCTTTCAAAATGTTAAACTGCAAGATGTCAATACTTAAGAGATCCATCTGAACATGACATGTTAGTCGACCACGGCATGAAATTAACCATCATGCTTTGTAATTGTAGTGAAACTTGTATTGGTCTCATAAATTCCTGATACGGTTTTTAAAGACCCGATCACTCGAAAGTGTGAGACAAAAACCAGTGCTGGTAACCAACCAGTGACAAGTTTCTGTTCTCGCGGGCAGCAGATGATTCTCATGTGCCTGTGCTTTGATTTAACCATAAATTTTACTAGCATAAGTTGGTAACTCTAAATTGTCCCTAGGTGTGAGTGAAAGTGAATGGTTGTCTCAATGTGTCTCTGTGATGGACTGGAGACCTGTCCAAGGTGTCCCCCTCTCACACAGTGACTGCTGGGTACCAGTGACCCGAAAAGGCATTAGTGGTTAAAGTAATGGATGAATACATTTTACTCTCATATTAGGACTAAAACACAAAAGAGAGAAAAACATCTGCAAAATTGCCAAACAGATTGTTCCAAAAAGTTTCAGGATCTACATTTTTTGTATTTTTTTAATTATTACCTCAAATCCCATTAGGATGAATCTCCAAAACAACAATTTATACAACACCCACAAAAAAACATTTTTGTCTTTGACATTTTTCTTCCAAATACTCAGTAATGCAACACTTTATGAAACAAATATAAAAAAAACTTATTAACCACAACTTAGTTATGGATTTTAACATTTTACTGGGCTGTAAAACTTAAAATTACACAATTTCGTAATTAAACGCAACATCCTGTTTATGGTGCATTAAAAGTGATTACGTAATAGTTAAAGCACATTTAAACATGGAAGTTTAAGTGGTTTGCCTTACAATTTACTTAAAAATTGTAATTAAAAAACAATCGAGTAAAAACTTTTATGTACAACTATTAGTTGCTCAAAATCTGAACGCGCTCGAGGAAATGACGTTTCTGTAAACACTCGAATAGATGTTTGGGAGTCATTCATAGTTCATTATTATTGGTCAGCCTACTGCAATTAAAAAAAAATAATACTAAAACAGTATTTGTCATTTATGACAAATGTAACATTTAAAATGTTAATTGCATCTTTACACTGAAATCCTATTTGTACATTGTCAGTTTTGCCCCACTTTACCTGAAGTAAAATACAGCCACATCTAAAAAACTGTAACCCAAATTTTAAAAGACAATGCACGAGGTTGCATAAGTTCCTTTGAGGAGTGCGTTTCTGTCAGTGGTGACTCAGTGCCTTTGCTATCCGTCTCTGTGTGACCCACAGCAGGAAGGACATCACGAGTGTAGATGCTGCAAGAGGCCCGAAAACCTGGAGAGCTGGAAACCCACCCTATTGAAACATTATTAGAAATATAAAAAAATAAGAAAAGTTTGTTGGTGGTAAACATTAAAATAAACTTGACAAATATTGTAACAGTTCAGATCTTTTGAAGAGCACTTTTGTGTGAAGCGTATAAACAATATCTTACCTGTTGTAGGTATTGACTTTGAATTACTTTAATTTGGAGAAATTGATTTTTTTTCTTGCAGGTTTTTAAGTTTTACACAAACATTACAATTAAGACAAAAACACAATAGAGTTAAATTCTGATTGGATAGATGAGCTAAAGGCTAGTCGGAGTAAAGACCAAAGTTCATTGCTGCCATCCTAAAACAACTCGTAAAACCAAAATCACAATTCATGCAAACACTACTTTATAAACTTTTACAACCCCGTCACTTTCCACATTTCTCAGGTTTTAACGTGCAATTGGTTATTTGCAGGAGCAAATGTGGACCACTTCTGGTGCGAAAGTCCTACAAAAACTTTATTTAACATGAAATCTAAGATCTCTTTTACAAGAGGGTCCTGGCTAAGACTAGCAGAGACACAAAGACAAAGTTACAATTTTAAAACATCACGTAACAAAATGGACAGAATAAAAGTAAAAACATTAAAACTGATCCGTCAAACTAAATGAGCCAGGTGCTAAAAGGCCAAATACAATTCAGGGAAAACAAGATTTTAAACCTATCTAAAGTAACCGTGTTTATTTCTGCTGAAACACGTTTAATGTAAAACTGCCAGTGATGTAAAGGTTTTGCATGAAGCTGTATAAATTAATGGGATTGGAGTTGTTTTAAAGGCAGCAGATTTCTGCTCTTGACTACACCCAGACTAAACACAAGTTCATTCATCTGATCAAAATCAAACTTGTTTCTCAAAGGCTGGAGTCAATCAACGCAGAGCTGCGATTTCTGGCCCGAGCCCGACCTGAAATTTGGGCCAGGTCGGGACAAAATTATGTGCTTGATGGGTGGGCCGGGTCAGGCTTTTGATACGGTTTTACGAATCATACAGCACAAAGAAAACTAAATAAGAATGCACAATATGAAATTGTGTTCATGTACTTGTTGAGAAGGAGAAAGAAATAAAATAGGGTGCAGAAGTTAATCAGACAGTGAAAAGAAAGAGTAGCTAAGTTTACATGTGCACAATTCTTTGATCAGATTGAAATGTATTCAGATTAAATAATCCAAATGTATCGTTTATATGGGCACAGTCCGTTCACGACGAGCGTTTACATGCAGCGGGCTTTTATTCAGAATAAAAGTACTGACATGTGCAGAGTGATAAACTTTCCTTAAAAAACACAGTTTACTTCCGTTCTACTTCTGTGATGAACATAAACAAACCTGAGTGCCCAAAATGGGCCCGCGACAGGTTTTAATGACGGTGGAGACGTTTCTGCACTCCCTGATGGAGCTACAAGTAATATAGATATGTTTGAGCTCTTTCAAAGTTTCTAGTAGAAATGTTGTATCGCTCACCGACCAATTTTGCTTCCCCGACATATTAGCATCTAGTCCGGCGAAAATACGTCAGGTAGACATAGGTCGCACATGCTAGGTCAGTTTTCCACAATTGGAATAAAATGATCAGATTAAGTGTTTACATGCACACTGTTCGGAATATGAATCGGCATAAACCACCCCTTGGATTACAAATTCATTTGGATCGAGTTGAATCAGCTCAGAATAATCCGAATGGGGCGTTTTGCATGACGCATTTTTATTCAAATGGCCGTTTAATCGGATTACTCCTGTCCATGTAAACATAGCTAGTAGCGCTGGCGCACTGCGCAACAATTGCTGCTTTAATCACACATTTGAGGATTAGCAACTGTAGCTGTATATCTCTACACAACAGACTCACAACAAGCGACATAATAGAGCTGTAAAATATTAAACAAACGCTAAAAACGGGAGAACTCACTCTACAAAGCCAGCACAGCGAAACCTGTTGATGTGTGTCAGGTCAGGTGCACGCTCGGGTCCGACCAGCCGGTTGAAAGAGGTAAAAAAAAGTCCCATTAAGCTTTAGATGGATCACCGGATCATCGGCTGCACGTGTCCCGCTCCGTACCCTGTGTTGAAGGAAGTTGTAGCATCTGAAGCTACAAAAGCTGAAGCGAGCAGCGAATTCAATTAAAATAGAATTGTTCTATATTTTTCCAAATATTTTTACTTTTTAATTTTATTTTTGTTCATCTGTATAATAGTAATATTATGCATATTATATAATATAATCTTTAGAGTTGATTTTGTAGGCTATTAATTTTGTATGTTAATACCTATTTGGTGAAACAAGAAAGCTTATATTGTCCTTTCTTTGAAATATGTTTTTAAAATATGTCAAACTGATTTGCTACAAAAGCAGTAAAAGCTTAATAAAAATTTTAAAAAGGGGTTTTTTTCAGGCCCGGGCCTCCAGTTACAGTTAATTGGTTGGGTCGGGCTCAGATAAAATGCCTACGGGCTAGGGCCGGGTCGGATTTTTTAGGCCCGAATGCAACTCTAAATGAACGTGCTACCAGCTTCAAAAGATCTGACCTGCTGCTTTAAGTCCAACAAATAACCCGATCAGAACCGACCTCTCTGAGACACTTGTATCCGTGGTAGTTCTCAGCACAGCTGCACTCATAGAAGCCTGGTCCGTAGGGGGCGCAGAGGGAGTTTTCTGGACAGTTATTGGCTGTAGATTCACAACATTTCCCAACAGAACAGTTTTAAGAGACGTTTGTTTTTAACGTTTTGAATATTTCAGTAAAACGGGACTTACAAAACTGTCCTGTCTGGTTGCACATATTTTTCTGGCCTTCACAAATACGATTTCCCTGTTTGACTTCCACCTTCTGCCAGGAAGTGTTCCCTCCTGGACAAACGATATCATCTGGCAAAATGCTGATTCAAAAAAAATCAAAAGGATTCAAATAAAATTACAAAAAGTTATGACTCAGTTTTAATTTGAAGTCCTGCAGGATACTTGCATGTAATTTAGGTAAAAAAATCCTCGAAACACATCATCACTGATGTTGACAATGGGATTGAGGGAGAGATCTCTGCAACAAACACATTTGTAGAACAGCAAACTATTAGAAAATATGGGACAAGTGTTTTCAATGTGAAGAAACAAAAAATATATTTTTGCTAAAACCAGAAACTTTTTATAACTTCAGGTTCCCAATACATTTCACCTCAACAGAGATCTTTTTAAAAACCGGCCTGCGCAGAAACTTAATCCTGAGTCCAGGAGAAAAGAAGCACCCAACAATTTTACTGTGAGCAGGCTGGTAATTGTGCAGAACCACAAAATGCAACAGTCATTTTTTGTTTAAAACACGATGGCATGCTAAAACGGGGGCCTCCTACACTCAGTGTTCAGTTGCCAAAAAGTTTTTCGCTCTTCGTTTATTGTGTAAATGTTTATGAAGCATTCACACTTTTGTTTTGTGATTCATTTTTCTTCCGTACATTTTTCAGCATCTTTCTTGTTCCACAATTTGTGCTATTTCAACAAATTGTATCAAAATATTCAGCTCTTTCAGGACAATTCTGCTGTGACTTTCGGTATTGGTGCAACTTTAGTTTTTTGAAATATTTAGCCTTTTCTGACATGTTTTTCCTCATAGGAAGTGAATGGAGCTCATTTTACATCCTTCAAACCTTTAGATCTGTTTACAACTTTTTACTGCTCCTTTCGTGTTTTGTTCTGGTTCAGCTTCTTTCAGGTGCAAATTTAAACTTTCTTTTCAACAATTTTCAGCTAATTTCAGCTGTTTTTTCAGCTATTTTGTGATCCTTTCAGATTCTTTCTGCTAACTACAACATTTTTGTGCTTCTTCTAACTTCTTTATGTAAGTTTCAGCTTTTTCTGCTATTCCAGCTACTATTTTGGTGTTATGCAAATTTGAGCCTTTTCAGCTAATTCCACATTTTTTTGCACTTCAACTTTTTTCAGCCTAATTCAGCAAAAATATTCAATCTCCACTTCCTTTTGGTAATTTAAGATTCTTTCTGAAATTTGAGCTGCGGTTCAGCTTTTTTCTTTAGCTAATTTCAGCTTTTTAAAGATAATTTCCACTTTCTTGTGCTCATTTATGCATCTCAGCCTAATTTGGCCAATGTGTGTTATTTCTGCTTTCTTCTGTAAAGTTAAGCTTTTTCTACCTTTTCAGCTACCATTTTAGCACCTTTAGCTAATTTAGCTGTTTTCAGATAAATTAGTTTTTCATGGTAATTTTTTATATTTTCAACCTCTTGTTATGGATTATGGAGCTTGTTATGCTCCTTTTAGCTTTTTTTCCTGCAAGTTTCAGCAGTTTTTGCTCTTCCAGCTACTATTTAGCTCATTTGATGCCGTTTTAGCTTTTTCATGTGATTCCACATTTTTTAGCTCCTTTCAGCTTTTCTTCCTTCTGGCAGTTTATGCTTCTTTCTGCCTTGTCAGCTATTTTTTTTGTTGTTGCTCTTTTCAGTTTTTTTTTTTTTAATTTTTAGCTAATTTCCAAATATTCTTTCTGGTTTCTTCTGCTAAATTAGGCTTGTTCTTCCATTGCAGCTACATTTAAGCACTTCTTTTTAGCTTATTTCAGCAGTTTTTCAGCAAGTTCTGCAATTACATTCACGCTGCATTTTCACAGGAAATGCAATTTCTCTAGTTGCACTTACATCATTAACACTTCGGATGCCTCTTGAAGATTTTCCACGTGAGTCAGTGAACAATTCGATAAATCCAACCTGACCAAAGAATAAAAAATAAAATTGAATTAAACATAACACAATACAAACTAAACTTGCAATATGCAAAAACAACATTTCCAAAATGCCACTCTTTAAAATGATCCCGATTAGAACAGTCTGATTCAAAACTTTACACCCCCCCCCCCAAAAAAAAAAAATTAAATACAAAAAGTTAAGCTTTAACTCTAATCCTTTTTTTCTCAAATTGTGTACGGTAAAACCACTGCTATGACAGGCCATATAATTATATATATAACCACATTCCTGTGTCTAATTACTTTTTTAGATCTAAATCAAAACATTCCTGATCATCTGAATGACATCATTATGCGTCAGAAATTAAATGAAACATTTATATAATATCTAATTAATTTTTTAAGATCCCCACAACTAAGGTAGCACTAGCAAAAACAACATTTTTTAAATATATTTTTTACATTTGACCGTTAGACTTGGTATGCACTGCAGACATAAGTTAGTCAATTCTTCGAGGTCAAAAGGAGCATTTTAGATAACCAGAAAGACTTTCGACCTATTCACAGTCAGCATTTCAGACGTCTCAAACGTCATTTTTTTTTATAAATAATGTGACATTTTCGATTTATGTGTACTGAGCTTTTAGTTACAGATACCACAAGTCCATTTTATTTTTAATTTCAAAAATCTTTTTTAAACATTTCAGATTTTTCAAACAGTATATGCTTTACAAAAGTTACTAGTGACAATTTTAATCTCTCCTGTATCATCCCATCATGTTTTTAATCTTAAATCTCATAAAGTCATGCTTTATTCACAATGGAACATAGTAAATTTTGGAGAAATCAATTATACCTGTAGTAATTTGAAATTTTATGGCACATTACAAAAGAAAGTTGTGATGGGGCAACAAAAGGCAGACACATCTGGAGGAGCATTTAGCAAATAATTAGGTTAATTAGCAACAGGTCAGAATGCGGACTGGGAATAAAAAGAGCATTTTAGAGAAGTTGAATCCCTCAAAAGTAAAGATGGGCAGAGGTTAACCAGTCTGTAAAACACTGAAACAACTTCAAAATAATGTTCCTCAACAGAAAATTGGAAAGACGTGGGCCTCATCACCTAGTTTCATATCTCATCAAAGGATTTCAAGAATCTTGAGAAATCTCTGAGCTCAAAGTATAAGACTGGAAGTCAATATTGGACATCCATGACCTTCAGACCCTCAGGGGGAACAGCTTTAAAACAGGTCTGATTCTGTTCTGGACATCACGTTATGGCCTCAGTAACACTTTCACAAATCATTGTCTGTAAACACAGTTTGCCAAGCCATCCATAAATGCAGGTTAAGTCTGTATCAAGCAAAGAGGTATGTAAACACCATCCAGAAATGCCACCATATAATCTGGACCAAAGCTTGTCTAAAATGAACTGAGGCACGTTTGAAAACTGTTCTGTGGACAGACAAATTGAAATTTGAAATTCATTTTGGAAGCCGTGAGCACCGCATCTTCTGTACTAAAAGGGAGAGGGACCATCCACCATTTTATCAGCACACGGTTCAAAAACCTGCCTCTCTGATGGTATGGGGGTGCATTAGTGCACATGACACAGGCAGCTTATACATCTGGAACAGCACAATCAATGCAGAAAAGTAAATACAGGTTTTAGAACAGTGTTATTGCCCGTCCAGACACCTTTTTAGGGAAGGCCTTGCATATTTCAGCAAGAACATGCAATTTGATCTATTTATTATGTTCCATATTAAATAAAATACGGGTTTATGAGATTTTCAAACCATTTCATTCTGTTTTTAACTACGTTTTACAAAATGGTGCTTAGTCTGTCAAACTATTATATGATACATTGGCTTTCCAGGTGGAAGACAGGTTATATTACTTCACATATTGTATGTGACTTGTTGTGCTTTAACAAACCACTGATTTAACAACAACAAAACTTTACCCGATGATACGTTCAGAGTCGCTTGTGCTGTCATTCCGCAAGCAGCATCGTCTGTGTATCCATCCAGCTGATAAAGAACAGAAGTGACCTACAGTGGATCCGTTCAGAACCGATCCACCACAGAGCGAACATACCTGTACAGACAACAGCCACGGGAAAACGATGGTAAACAAACACCGGTCATCTCTACAAGCACCGTGAGCCACAACAAAACGGATTTTTCTGTATCCGATGTGTCTGATCGTCTTACCTGCAGCCCAGTCAGGCTACTAGTCGCGTTAAAACTTATACAAAAAATCAAAATAAGAGCTACATGTTCTTTCCACCTGCACACAGCTTTCATTTTCATCGAATAGTCAGTCAGATGTTGCGATCACGTGACAGGAAGCAGGTCCGGACAAACATATGCGCTATGATTACGCATACAGCCAAATCAGAAAATGTCGAATTAAAAAATAAAATCATTTAATTCAAAATTATGTGTTTATTACAACAAAAGAAGTCATATTTATTGTTTTACTACGCTAATTTATTTTAGCGTAATAAAATTCTGACTGCGCGTTCCTGTCACTTTGGGTTGTCCAAATAAATGTGGGGACTTTTGTTAGTAGTATTCTGTAAAACTTGGAAAATACATTTATTTGGGTAAATTATTCATGGATATTTGTTTTAGTCTATTTATATATAGGTTGAATACAAATTATGCCACAACTCTTGTATGTAAGCTAGCATGATATGTAGCAATAAGCGATAGCACCCCTATCACTGAGCAAAAATGGTTTCGTCCAGAAGGATCGTAGCAACGCTTGTGGTGGGCCATCCAGTGCATTAACGGAATACGGAACGGTTACTTTGAGGACATTTTTTGCCATAAAAAAAAAAAAAAACTGCGTTACAAGTATTGTGTGTAATCTTCTTCGCAATGCAGACTTTTCTTCGGCAAAGGTAGATACTGAAAAAGAAAATAATTAGCCCAGTGCTTTTGTCAAACATTTTGTTAAGGTTCACCAGACAACGGCATTTGATTTGCGACGCTGGGGCTTGCAGGAACCAACTGCACCTTTTATCCAGAAACTTCCCCAGGCTATGCTAAATGAGCTGGATTATCTTTACGTCCTAATACTCGATTCCTAACCGTAGGTGGGCTTTAAGTTTTTCCGGATAACGTATTGTGATGTAAAGGTTATTTTCTCTGCTGACAATTTAGGTGTTATTGCTTAACACTTGCAACATGGCTGCTGTGGCAGCAGGGAGAAAAGTTTAACTGACGTGGGAGAAGTTTGGTGCATTCATGAGCTGTTGTCCGCTCCGTAAAGTGGGAAGGAGTCGCCTCTAGTGTGACACCACCATCTTCAGACCCAAAGCAGTGGAGGAACCGTGTCAGAGCCTCCTCCTTCCTCCTCCGTAGTCACTGCAGTGGACTTTTTCGGGTAGTGGTGGTGCCTTGCTCCCCATCTCAGGCAGGCACGGCTCTGGAGGCGTTCAAGGACCATCACCATATCAACTGACTGGAGGCTGTGTTTCGAGCTAAAATGCATTTCTCCATACCCGAAACGGAAGTGTGCTCTGGGGAAAATGGTTCAACCTATGTGGTAAGCATGATTACATGTTTTGGTTTTGCCTGCGCCACACTTGCTGTCTTAATGCTGACATAAGCTGACCACAGCAAAGTCGATGCGTCACGAGTTTCAGTGTTTACAGGTATACATATCACGGTGAATTCCTTCCTTAACGCAGCTTAATGTACTTTATTCTTCGAGGAACAAATCGAACACACACTATGACTTGTTTTAGGTCAAAACAAGTGACTTTAAGTCCAGGATTAAAGAGAGGAAGAAGCTGAGTGGAGGTCTCCATCGCATTCAACGTTCCTACTAGATGTGGCCTTTAAATGCTACTTTATTTTGTCGGACATTTGAAGTTTCTCTTATTTACTGTCAAAACCACATGATGAAACCTGGCACTGCTACTAAATTATTGTGTTTTTAGCTTTAAAGGTTTAAGCTTAAATTCATACTGAGGTTTGAGATTTTGCAAGCATTTTATATTTAGAGAATAACAACCAGTGTCTTTTCACTTAACAAGTGGATAAACAAAGGCTAAAATGAAGCGGTCTTATTTAAAAATCAATATCAACAGTTTTTTTTTCTTTTTACCCCCAACAATTAAGTATAAATTGTTTTTATTTACACAGTTTATGTCTTAAATAATGTAACCATTATTTATCTTGTAAACATGTACCGAACAGATCGGGCACAGGAAGTTTACTTTGTGGATTTGGCCAACAAAACCGTCCTGCAACATTAATTCTTTAATCTTACTGAACATTATATTTAATATAGTTTCTATATGTGTGTGTGACATAAAATGACCACACCAGCTGCAGTGTTTATCTGCCTTCCATGTGAGATTATGAGGGCTGTTCCCAGAGTCTCACACGTGTGAATGACTATTTTCCATTTTGACTTCAAAATCTTGGACTGAGTTTATTCATATTTGCAAAAATAGATGAATGGCTTTGTGTAATAAGTGAAACAATAGTCCCCTAATGCAGCAATTAAGTTGCATTTAATTTCATATCCTTCCTTTCTTCTTTTTGTATTGTTCTCCAAACACGCTTTTCTAAAATGAGCATTTTGCGTGGCATTTTTGCTTGCTTGCATTCGCTGTGAAAACTTCAGCATTTTTTTTCCTGCTCTCAGCTGACTGTCCTGAAGTGATCATTGTGACCTTCCTGTGACCAGCCTGCAGGAAAGGACTTTGCTTGATTATAATCCTAAGAGATGGGGCTGTGTACCTTGGAACCAGTTGGCAGCAGGATGTGCAGACTTTGCTCTTGGTTTTATAGAATAACAAGAGGTGCATTAAAAACAAATAATAAAAAAATGTTAGTATTCTTGTGCAAGCACCAACCAATTTTGTGCACACTTCCTGTTTTCCAATAGGCTTTTTTTCCCCAAACACACAATTTTTACAGTGAGTTCTACAGTATTTGAGAATAGGGTAAAGAAAAAACATAATGTGAATGATGACTTGTCAAGTACAGGTCATAACTTTTGAATAGTTTGTTAAAGTTTAGCTAACGGTGGTAGACCTCAACCACATGCAAGCATTAGCTGCCATTTGATCGTACCCTGAAGATTTAAATGCAAAACCACGAACAGAAGTTTTAAAATATGTTGTGCTTAAGATCATCAAACTAAAGCAAACTTAATTCGACGTATCTTTTTTTTTGAAGAACTTTATATATAACACAACCTTCAGGGTTACATGAAAGATAAAAACACGTTTACATCAACAATGTTTCAGTTGCAGATGGATTAAAAATGTAGTGAGTGTTTTTGATCCGTTCTAAAACATTAGATTGACATTTCAGACCCAGTTGGAGCTTCAACTTGTCAAAAACCGAACGTCACATCATGTTTTTTTGTTTATCAGATGAAAACTCGGACTGCTGAAGAGTTGTAATATCTGTATAAAAAGACACGTGTAGCCTTTTAGAGTTTCTTGAAATTCATAAATATTGTCCCTCTTTCCTTTTATGTGTTGTCATCAGCCAACACATTCTGCTCATTTAGATTTCCTTCCTGCCTGGACATTGCTTACATACTCATGTTTTAATGTATTTATTGGCTCTGTAAAAAATGTCAACTTTCCAGTTCAACGGATTGGCATGTACTTGGTTTGTTTTGCAGAAATCTTTTATTTTGATCCATGGTGTGTCTTAGTACAAACTTGCTTAGTTTCCATCACAAGTCTTATCTCTTTTGACTCTAAATAATTATTAAAACAGAGAGAAAGGAAGAGTTTAGTGGCTTGTTATCCAAAGTTGAAGTTTTCTCAACTTGTAGTCAATAATTAAATGGAATGTGCATAACTAAAAGTGCTCTTTGCCATTAAGTTTTTTTTTCCACAGGTGAGGCGTTTTCATCTTGCTTTTACTCTTTAACAAAATAAAACACTTAACATAGGAAATAAATGTACTTTTTTTGTAGCAGACTTGAAAATAAATCCAAGTAGACTTGTTGACGTGTTGATTCCATGTTGTGGTTTTATGGAAAAGTATTTAGGGATGGTTCCTGCAGAAGTAAAGTGTGTCTCAGGAGGAAAAAAGAAATGTTTTTCACGTGGTCCTTTGTCTCTGTGTCCGTTAACGTCTGTATGATTCAAGGAGAATCTGGTTTCATCCGAAGAATTTTTGTTTTTCTCAGTTCTGCTCGATCAGGTGTTGGATTCACAAACGAGTAGTGAGAAAACGCACGTTACATATTACATAATGTGAGATGAATAGTGTCTGAGGTATCTGAAGAGCTGTGAAGCAGTTGCAGTTTTATTTTTTGATTGCGTTTAATGTCAGAATGTTGCGCAATGCACTTTTGAAAAACGCCATGCGTGCTGGAAAATAAGGGGCTTGTAGAACAAACAAACTTTAGCTTTTGATGCATAACAACAAAGTCCATGCTCAATAATCCAGGTTTACAATCCAACATTTTTCAGTCAGGTCATCCGGACAGTTTCTTTTTTTTTTTTTTTTTTGTGCTGAAACGTTTCGCCTTTGGTCCGGAAGGCTTCATCAGTCAAGGAAACACGCAACAAAACTGATTCTTCCCCCAACAGCTTACTCCAAAGTGGAACAAACCAGTTCTGCTTGTGATAAGATGGTCTCTTTGGTACACCCCCTCCTCCATTGCCGCCCTTTTCCTTGTTGACAGTCTTGTCAAACTGGTTGAAAACAACAAAGTCCATGCTCGATAATCCAGGTTTACAATCCAACATTTTTCAGTCAGGTCATCTGGACAGTTTCTTTTTTTTTTTTTTTTTTTGCTGAAACTTTTGATGCATAGTTTTAACAGCTTGATTTTTTTTTAAATTAAAAATTTAGATGGATGAGATGAGTACAAATGTGTGATGTTCTCATTCGATTATAATGTATGCGCTTCATTTATCTGCAGGCCTACAACATCCACGTCAACGGTGTGCTGCACTGTCGGGTACGCTACAGACAACTTCTTGGTCTCCATGAACAGGTGAGGCTTCAGCTCGTCATAAAACACCCACAGCACCGTCGGTGCACCGCAGAGCACGAGTGAGTTAGCCAGAAATGCCACCGCGCTCACACGTGACCTTCCATGCGTCTTCGTGTTGTCACGGTCCGTACTCCAGCGCTCGCATCACTTTAAGTCTCAGCCGTGAGGGTTTGATTTCTTTTTCCCTGCTGCTAAGATGTAGGAATTTTTGGAGGGAGTGGGTGATGTGAAAGGAATGTTCTTGGCCGTTCTTACACTTCACCTGCTGAGGAATAAAATAGAACTTAATCTGGAAAATAAATATATTTTTGGAAAGTGTTGCCTTTCATGGTCGTGGCACTCTGCCTTGGAGAAGCGTTACTCAAACCCAGATTAAATATTTTAAAGTGCAGTTGTGTGGCGGTTAGTGTTGTGAGATTATCATATTTCCTGCAGTGCTGTGGTTGAAAACTAACATGCAGGAAATTTTCTCTCCAACACTTATTTTTGTCAGTATTTTATTTTATTTTTTTAAAGTAAAGCAGATGGGCCAACAACACACCCAGTTCTAGTTTATTTGCACTCATAAATAAGCAAGCAAGAGCTAAACTTTGCCATCTTTATCCTCCAGTCTGTGTTATCCAGTCTGACAGTTGCCGTTGCCTGGCAACAGGAAGGGACCATACTCTGATGTTTTAGCATGAACCCCATAGGGCTTCCTGTGGTGCATGCATGACCCCAAAACACTTCATGATCAAGGGACGCACACTGCTCAGCTGTTGTTGAGAAAATGTGATTAGTAATTGTTTGTCTGGGTGTTGTACAAAATAAATATTTGCAGCAAAGCCACACCTCTGTTTGATTCTGAGCCTGCAGGAAAAAAAAAAAACTTGAACATGATCTGCTGCAGGAGCTCTCATCCATGTCAGTTTAAGGGGAGACTGAATATGTATCTGCTCAGTGTTTGCAAATATGAGAGCAGATTCAAGTTCAGGAATCTTTATTATCCCCAAGGGGCAATTTGTTTCACAGTCAATAAACGCATAAAACATCCAGACTAGACAAGACATTGAGACATTAAAATAACAGTACAGAAATAATCACTGTTTGTTGAGAAACCTGATCGCTACAGGGATAGATGAGCTTTTTAGTCTGTTCGTCCTGCATCTGGGCAGCAGATACCCGCATCCAGATGGAAGTAACCTGAACTCACCATGGAGTGGTGATCAGGATCTGCCAGAATCAGCTGGGCCTTGTTCACTGACCTCGCCTTGTGTAGGTCAGTGAGGTTCTATAGAGCTATGCCAGCAGTTTTGCTGCACATCCTGACAATCCCCGAGAGTTTGTTCCTGTTTTTACATGTTAAAAGTCCAAACCAACAGATGAGGGTCAAAGTTGAGAGACTCAATAAAGCATGAATAAAACGTTCTTATAAAAGTCGAATCAACATTAAAACCGCAGCGCTTCTGATAAAAATATATTCTCTGGTGGGCCTTTTTACAAAGTGAGTTCACATAGGGGTCAATGGTTAGTTTGTCATAGAGAACAGTTCCCAGATATTTATACTGGTGCACCATCCCAACAGCTTCACCATTAATGACCACAGGAGTGACACCTGAAGAGTCTTTTCTAAAATCAGTGACCATCTCCTTTGTCTTAGAAACATTTAACTTTTAAAAGGAAGACTCACATCATTCAGTGAAGACCCCAACCATAAGCCCGGGGTCTGGGTCATCACTGCTGAGAACGCAGCCCTGAGGGGAGCCGGTAGATTCACGTGTGTAACCTATACTGCTTCTGTCCAACTGAAAATGTGTTGGACTTGTCTGTTTTTGTTTTTAGGAAGAAAACGGTGCCTTTAAAGTCCAGGTGATGAGTGAGATGTGCATCTTTTACCTGAATTGGCACGCAGCTTAGGATAAAACCACATTTAGCTTTGTGAGGTCTTTGTTGAACATTTACGCTGCTCTAAGGAAACGGCTCTCAGACGACAGAAAATGAAAAGTTATGTGTCGAGAAGACTTAGAAGACTAAGTAAACTTGGACTGACTAGACGTCAGGATTCCAGATGTGTCTGTTTGAGGTATGCATGGCAACGAAACATTTTGAAGCAGGGCTTAAAATAAACCTGTGATTCATCCTGAACAGACCTCTCTCAAAAACTTAACCCTGCATCGTTTGTGTTACAAACGCTGTACTCGGATCAACAGATTAAATTAGTGGGGTTTAAGCTTTTTATAATGACATTATAAAAAAAAAAAAAAGGGTTTTAGTCATTTTCAATGCCAATATCTCTGTTCTCAACTTGTGGTTTGCACCAACAGATAAAGAAAGAATATGGCAGCAATGTGGTGCCCTCCTTCCCCCCAAAGAAGATCTTCACCCTGACCCCCGCTGAGGTCGAACAGAGACGAGAACAGCTTGAGAAATACATGCAGGCTGGTAAGTTAGTCAAACTTTTTATTATTTCAGACTAAAACTAAACAACAATTATGCCGATGTTGTTCTTTATTCATCAAAATTACAAGTCACATGATTTGACTAATCTATATATATTTTTTTATTTTAAGGCTGTGACAAGTAATGCTTTTTAAAAAGAAGGTATTTTACAGTATGATGTAACTCTTCTTGTGTATACTAATCACAAAAGTCACTATATCTGTTGAGAGTCCAGCTGTGACAGTCTCTTCATGTTCTTTAAGGCGGGTAAACAAACTGACCTGAGTACAGTTTCATCTGATACACTGACACAGAAAATTGCTGGACAGATATTTTGGCACAGCTAATGAAGATTAAGATAAGTTTGCCTTCAGATATCCATTAAAAAACACAAATTATCTTATGATGAAGTTTAACCTGATAGGATTGAAATCTAGCTTTTCTTTAAAATAAACAACTGCCATTTGAATAAATTCAAAATTTTTATGGTATTTACACATTAATTAATTATTAAATATAAAATGGCATGTTTTTAAGGATTTTTTTTCTCAAAATCCAGTTGCTCATTTGGAGTTTGGCAGCTTTAGTACATATTATCCAGAGTCTTTAAATGGGATAAGGGTGAATTTACTGCGTTTACGGGTGAAGTACTGGAACTGGCAGCAGTGTAAAGTGTTTGTTTTAATCCTGCCATGCACTGGGCAGTTATAGCAGAACAAGGAAGAGTTGTGTGAGTGTGTATTTGCTCATGGTTTGGGAGCAGACTCGCACATGGTTCACTTGGTTACATCATGGCTTTGTACGTGGTTATGGAAAATCGGTTGCTACAAACAAAACCTCCTTTGATGCAGACGGTATAAAACTTTAACATTTGGTCAAACGGTGAGACTAATTCATGAAAGGAAAATAGTTTGCAGCCTGAGCCACACACACATTCACACACATAGAGGTATTAAAAGGCTCTACTACTGAAAATTGTATTAAAATAAAGCAAGAATCCCAACGAGAAATGGGCTATTTTGTTTTTATTACCAAAAATGAAAAATACATTGGGTTCAAACTGTTTTGTGAATCTTTGTCAGATAACTTAAAGTCATACCTACTTCACAATGCACAATTAGAGGGCATAAGGCTTTGTAGGAAATGGGAAGTACGTGCTCCACCCAAAGAAGCTTCTTGCATTAAGCAATGGCTGTGTATTTCTTTCACTGGGCCGCTCCTTGTTTTTTACAGTTCGTCAGCATCCTTTGCTTGGAAGCAGCGAGATGTTCAACAGCTTTCTAAGAAAAGCGCAGCAGGTTAGTTCCTTGTTTTTCTACTTGCCTTAGTCATTCTGTAATTACTTGCATCAACTTGGTCTTAAGTTCTCTATGCTCGATCAATTATTTTTTGTATGAAAGTAAATAGACTGTACTTTTATAGTGCCTTTTAAGTCAACAAGGCTACTAGTGAGGCTACAAAGTGTTTTGCAACACAATCTGCGCTCTCATTTACTTGTCCACACCTTCACACAGCACTCTACTACATCTCTACAAAGCTAATCTGAATAAAGCATTTTATAAAGTATAATCAGTGTTTTAGATCACATTCATACACCGATAAGGCACGTTAGAGGGGTTCAGATAGGGCAATGAGGGGTTCAGTGTCTTGCCCATTGGCACTTCGTCATGTGGCTGCGTATTGCTAGAGCTCAAACCTCTGACTCTCTCATTGAAGGATGACTGCCCTAACCACTGATCCACAGCTGCCCACTTAAAGGTGCTGCTCAAAGTTGTGGCACCTTTTACTGTTGTCACTGTTCATTGCAGCACTGTTTTTGTTTTTGGTACTTTGAAAGCTGCTGATGAGATGTCAGGATTTGGCCAACATTTGCAACAAGCAGTATGAACACAATAAAAAGTAGAGAAATTGCATTTCCTGCGAAAATGCTGTGTGAATGCTTATTGCTGAATAACTTGCTGAAAAACAGCTGGTTAGCTTAAAAACATGCTGAATTCTAGCTGAAATGTAAGAACAAGTCTTAATTAGCAAAATAAAGCAAAAAGAACTCATATTTGTTGAATTAGGTTTAAATAAGCAGAAATTAGCTAAAAAAATAGCAAATTAGCTAAAAAAAAAAAAGGGGGCTGAAATTAGTGAGAAATAACTTAAAAGGCAGAAAGACGCTTAAACTACCAGAAGGAAGCAGAAAGCTGAAATAAGCTAAAAAATGTGGAATTGGTTGAAAAAGCTAAAATTGGCATGAAGAAGTTAATTAGGCAGAAAGTATCAGAAATTACCACTAAAAACTTGAATTTATCTGGAAACGGCTAAATTAGCTTAAAAAATGCTAAATTGGTAGCTGAAAAGATAGAACAAGCTTAAATTTACAGAACAAAGCAGAAAGAACATGTTTGCCCACTTAGGCTGAAAGAAGCAGAAATGAGCACAAAAAAGTGGAACTTATCTGAAAAAAGCTGAAATTGGCAAAAAAAAAAAAAAAAGAGCTAAGTAGCTAAAATTTCAAAAAGAAGCTTAAATTACCAGAAGAAAGTGGAGAGAGCACATTTGCTGAATTAGGCTGAAAAAAAGTTGAAATAGGTGCAAAAAAATGTGGAATTAGCTGAAAAAGCTAAAATTAGAATAAAATAGTAGCTGAAATGGCAGGAAAAGTTTAAACTTGCAGAAATAAGCTTACAGGAGCATAACAAGCTAAAATTAGCAGAAATAAGTTAGAAGAAGCACAGAAATGTTGTAGTTAGCAGAAATAATCTAAAAGGATCACAAAACAGCTGAAAGTAGCTGAAAAAAATGTTTAAATTTGCACAAGGAAGCTAAAAGAAGCTGAACCAGAACAAAATGAGAAAGAAGCAGTTAAAGGTTGTAAACAGATCTAAATATTTGAACGATGTAAAATGAGCTCAATTCATTTCCTATGAGGAAAAAAAAGTGGTGGAAAAGGCTAAATCTTTCACAAAGCCAAAGTTGCACCAATACCCTTCTCCTGAACGAGCTGAACGTTTTGATATATGAATTGTTGAACTAGCACAAAAATTTTGGAACAAGAAAAATGCTGAAAATTGTACAGAAGAAAAATGGATCACAATAGAATGAATGCTTCATAAACATTGACACAATGAATGAGTCGAGGCTACGGAGTTGATTGGTCAGTGATGGTGTGTTGATCACCTTCACGGACAGATTTAGCTGTCCGCTGCCACACTTTCTCCTCTCACATTAGCACATTAGAGTGGATGTACAACCACATTTCCAATCATACTGTGAGGACTGCAGGTGCGGGAGATGGCTTCCCTCCCACTGAAGGCGTTTCATCTGCACTTATGGTGAAAGGGTTGTTCTTACAGAACTCCCACTGAGGAAACGGATGATTTAGTGGGTGATGAGACTGCCTGGTGACAAACATCTGAGTTATCTGCTTTCTTCTCTAAAACAAACACAGAATTTGTATTTTTTACAGACATCTCCTTGGATGAAAAGCAATCATCAGTAAACGTCTTTAAGTAAAAAATAAAAAAAAAGTTATGTTGAATTATTTTTGAGATGTGGCTGGTGGTATATTCCTTGTTAAAATCAAAATCTCCATTTCAAACGTTGGACTACAAATATTTTGGAGACTGCATGGCAAATTCTAGTTATGAAATAAAACATTAGACAAATAAAAAAACAAGACCTATTAGTCCACTTGCTGTAAATAACTCAACTTTGCAAGTGATGAGAATTGCGTTTTAGTACAAGCAAAGAAAAAAAGTTAAAGTATCAAAGTTCTGACATTCCACTATCAAAGTTAGTTAAATAATTTGAAGTGTGTGGAAAACAAAGGAGGGCAGGCAGGATCATTTCACATCCCTTCACCTTGTAAATGTGACAAGTCTACCCTGACACGCTATGTGCCACAAAAAATAGACTTCATTTATAGTTTCTACTTTGTCGTGATATCAGACACCTAAATATTTCATCTGAAGCTCAGAAAAGGGGATGCTCACTGTAGTCCATTTTTAAGAATGTAGTTATTTTTAAGCAAGGATGCTTTTCAAGTTTCAACAGTTTTCTTTTTGGTAACAGGAAAATGCACATTGATTAAAAAATAAAAAGTGTTGCCCATCAGTCATCGGCTGCCTTGGCTTCTTGCTAAAATCTGCATCAGCAGGATAATTTTTTATCTTTAGTCTTTTCAGTTAGTTTCTTTCCATGAGACTTGATGTGTTTTTATGAAGACAAAACCCCCCATAAAATATCTGGTTTGATTTTGTCCTTTTCATTTAAATCAAATGCACGTTTTATTATGTTACAAACTTTTTGTTTAACTTGTGGAGAATAAGTCTGATTTCAGTTTTATTTCTTAACGTGAAGCAACTTGGGTTTTAAAATGATGGCAAAACTTGCTCAGACCCATTTGAGCAAAGTGTAACATTGTGCTTTGTTTGATGAAATAAATTTACTGTGACAGTAGAACTTAAAGGTTTTCCACTGGAGATCCTCCAGTATTGTCACCAGCACACACTGTTCCCTCCATGCAGCTCTGTGCGGTGATGTTGATTGAAAATGCTCAGCTTACCCATGAAGCTGAATTAAAAAGTGTTTTTTCCCACAGGACACCCAACAGATTCCCACTGAAGAGGTCACTTTAGACATCTGGCTCTCCAGTGGTCAGAAGGTTACTGTCAACATTCTGACCTCGGATCAGACGGAGGATGTTCTTGATGTAAGTGCAGCAAATGCCTTTAGGAACATGCTTAAATCCAGACTCATATTAATTCCTGTTTGGAATTAAATTGTAATATATTTTAAAAAGAAATGATTAGACCAGGGGTCTGCAACTTTTTCGATCAAAAGAGCCATTTCTGCCCCTTCGTTAATTAAATTAAATGTGTCCAGAGCTGCAAAACCTAATTGTCATTATCAGCTGTTGGCCCATGGGACACTTAAAGTTTGTTAGAGGGGGCTTTTCTGGCCATTAAGTGTGAAATTATAAAACTAAAAACATCCGATGATTGTTAACATTTATTGATATTTTACATTTTGAGACCAAAGAAAAGACTGGATTCCATCCATCCATCCATCCATCCATCCATCCATCCATCCATCCATCCATCCATCCATCCATCCATCCATCCATCATCTGTACTTCTTCCTTTTCGTGTTGCAGGGGGTCACTGGTGCCCATATCCAGGTCACAAGTCTATCACTGAAGACTTGTAAAGGAAAAAAAAACATTTTATTTCGCCAATTTTTAAAAAACTAAATAATGAACTGTGCAGGCTTATGTATTTTTTTAATTGTGGAGAAATTGAGTATCCTATTTTGAAGCAATAAAGTTAAAGGGAGTATAATTTATTCTGTGTAGTAATACTAGTATCCATATATTTGCAAAGGAAATGACAGGAAAACTGCTAAAACTCGTCATTTTTTGTTATAAAATTCAGTTTTTTGTTAGTTTTGGTCAAAGCTTGAAAGAGCCACTGCAGAGGGACCAAAGAGCCACATGTGGCTCCAGAGCCGCAGGTTGCAGACCCCCTGGATTAGGGCCAGTTCTGAGCAAATACCTTGATAGTTGGCTTCGTCTGAGGCCTTCAGGAATCTTCTCACGTTCAGATACCTCAGCTGTATTTGTGTTTAACTTGAGGCTGCGCTTTTCATTTTATGTCTGACGTATGCCTGGGACTTTGTGCAGGCAAGCATTATTGCTGTCGACTCCCCCTTGAGCCATAAGTCAAATAAAGTCTCGCTTACTTACACAGATCTTTCTAGACAAAGCTAAACAATAATATGAGATCTCTTTATACTTCATTTCTACTGAGCCAAAAGAGGGTGCACAAAAAACTAAACTGCTGTGAAAATAAATAAAGGCTTACGATTTTAGAATATAAATGTATGCATTCACAACAACACAAACATGTTCATCTTAAACATAGTTTTTTTAATCACCTCAGTTCTTCACCTACCATGAAAACAGCTTGCTGTCTAACATCACACTAAACGTGGTGGTGTTTTGTCACGCCGTCCTTTTTTTGTCTTTTTATGCTGCTCTCATGAGCAGGTCTCAAACCACAGAGTCGTATATCAGCTGCGGCTGATTTTCTCAAGCTCTGATTGTTTCTCTAAATAATTTTTCTTTGAGTTCCTTCAGTGCCTCACATTTAGTCGGTTTCTATGTAAATGTTTAAGTTGTTGGAGTTGAAAACTTGTCAGATAAAATTGTTTACAAGCAACAGTTTTACAAATTAAACCATTTCTCTAATATATTTCACTGTCATCAAATAAAAACAAAGTTTTTTTTTATTATGGATTGAGGACAAATGGAATGTAACATGTCTGAAGGATTAAATCTAATTTATTTTTTATGTTAATTCTAATCTCATAATTTACTGAACATTAAATTTCAAATGAAAGAAATTGTGCAAATTATAATCTTACTTTATAATATGTTTGCAGGCTGTTGCAACAAAACTGGACCTCCCAGAGGACCTTGTGGGATATTTCAGTCTCTTCTTGGTCCGTGAAAGCGTGGATGGAAGTTTAACGTGTAAGTTAAAAATCATACTGGTGCTGGGAAAGAAACAACTTGGGTTCGTTTTTTATTTTACAGCTTTGATGTTGAAATTTGTCGTTGAATATTTTCAGTGTTTGGCTAATACATTTTAAAAATGGAAGCAAAGGAACCTTTTTTATTTTAAGTGTTTAACCCTTCAGACAGTAGTGGGACCAGTTGTGGGAAACGGAGTTTAAAAAAATAATCTTATATTTACGTTCTTTTTTCAAAACAAGACCTAATCTTGAGACAAACAGAGACTCAAAAGAACAAAATGTTTTTTATTACAGAAAAAAAAGAACAAATATTAAGTTTCAGATGCCTAAATGTCTGTTTCCACTCGATAAATAAATATAATTCAGTTTATTTATTTAGTGCCAAGTCACAACAGAAGTCATCTCAGGGCACTGAACAGAAACATTTATATATAAAAATAATTTAACATTATTTATCTGAGGAGCAGACTGCTTTGAATTTAACTCCATCACAGAACTCTCATCTTGAGCAAGCATGAAGGCGACAGTGGAAACAGGAAAAACTCCCTCATGAGGAAGAAACCTTTAGCAGAACCAGGTTCAGGACAAGCGGCCATCTGCTTCGACTGACTGGGTTTGGGGGGAACAGATACACAATGGCAGGTCAAGAATCACATTAAGAATGAAATAGTATCAAATGAAAACTATTTATTTTTAACCATTCATTTAAGGAAATGAGGTCAATTTGTCCTCCAGTAGTCTTAAGTCTATAGCAGCATAACAATCCAATTCTTAACTATAGGATTTATCAAAAATTAAAGTCTTAAAACTGGACAATGTGTCGGCGTCATGGACAGAAACTGGAAGTTGGTTCCACAAGAGAGGAGCCTGATAACTGAGAGATCTTCCTCCCATTCTGCTTTTGGAAACTGTAGGGACTACGATATAGCCTGCGGTCTGAGAGCGAAGTGCTCTGTTTGGAAAATATGGAACAATAAGATCTTGAATTTAAGATGGAGCTAGGTTGTTGAGGGCTTTGTAGGTTAGAAATATAATTTTGAATTCAATTCTGGATTTGACAGTGAGCCAATGGAGCGAAGCTAAAACTGGAGAAATATAATCTCTCCTACTAACTCCAGTTAAGACCCTGGCAGCAGCATTTTGGATTAACTGAAGACTTTTTAAAGAAGTATTTAGACACCCAGAGAACAAACCATTACAATAGTCCAGTCTAGACGTGGCAAATGCAAGAACCAGTTTTTCTGGATAATTTTTAGATAAGATGTTTCTAATTTTAGTGATATTACACAGGTGGAAGAAGGAGGTTCTAGTAATGTTTTTAATGTGCGGGTTAAAAGACATGTCCTGATCAAAAATAACACAAAACATTTTAACATTAGAGCTGGAGGACATATTAATGTCATCTAAGGAGGGAGAAAGACTGAAAAATGTATTCCTAAGATGCTCAGGTCCAAAACTAAAACCTCAGTTTTGTCTGTGTTCAAAAGCAGAAAATTTAGGGTCATGCAGGTTTTTATGTCTTTAAGACATGTTTGTAGTCTAAGTAGCTGATTGGATTCCTTGGGTTTCATGGATAAATATAACTGTGTATCATCAGCATAGCAATGAAAATATATCCCATGCTGTTTAATAACATTACCTAATGGAAGCATATATAAGGTAAAGAGTATATAAGCAGGAACAAAGAACATAATGAGATGTAATGCTCATGTTTCCAAGTTTACTTTTATGTCCTCATCTTGATGCACGAAGAGCTCGTTAAAAATGGGGACCACATCAGGTTTTTCTAGAGTTTCAACTATAACTCTTTATGAATGCATAAATGGTTTATAAATTAGTTGTTGAAGAAGCCCCTTGAAAAGAAAGCCTTCCCTGGCTGCTCGAGGATATTTGATGTGATTGAAGTTCTGATCCAAAACGGCATCAAATGTTAAGGCCAAGACCTGATTAGGAAAGTGCTTTTAAATCTTTTTTTCTTTCTTACACACTGCAGGATGGTTCTGTTCTTTTTATGCAAACACCTCTGATACTCCAGCTAATTTTGGAGAAAATGTTATTTTTTATTTGTTGTTGAAATACAAATCATATCTGTAAAGTGATTAACTTTTAACTTGTTTAACTTGTTTTTTTTTTATGCGTTTACCGGTATATTTCAAAATATACTTGAATATGGCCTTTCTTTTTTGTTCTAAAACATATTAATGCCAGCTGGTGGTATTTTTAAATAAATGCCTTTCTAGCTCTATCGGCACATCCCACAGAGCATTATTCTGATGTTATGAGTTCAATGCCAGTTGAGTAAAATAACAGGAAAAAAATCGATTTCAAGCTGATTCTTCATCAGCTTTAGAGATTTTGAAAATGCGGCATGTAAATTTCCTTCTTTGACTGTTTAAATATGTAGCTCTGAGTTGTGAAGAAAAAGGATGTATAGCTAAATCTGAGTGAATTGTTGGACTTTAAAACAGTATCTTTGGATTTCTCAGTGACTGGTAGAATACTAATATTAAGAGACTTAAGCTCCTCTCATGTAGATGCTGAAGTTCCTAAAGACAGTTTTAGCATTCAGTTGTGTAGGAGCTGCCTATAGAGAATTAAACTTCCTTAGAAATGGAGATTTCTTCACTCTCCATGAGGAAATAACTTCATTCTTTTTGCATCAAGTACTTTAGCCCTGCAGGGGACTGTCCAGATGCCATCTTCAAGTTTTGTATTTTTCTTTCTTGCTATATTTGTCCTTGAGGCTCAAGCATAATTTCTTTCTCACTGTGTCTCTTTCTCAGTTGTCCGGAGGCTGCAGGAGTTTGAGTTGCCTTACGTGTCCATAACCAGCCTGCAAAGCTCTGAATTTCACATAGTCTTACGGAAAAGGTACCCATCACCTACTCTACGTTGTTTACCTAAGCTTTTACAGATGTAAGACATGTCTTCTGTTTCTGTGCTGTTTTATGTAGTATTACATGTATTATGTTTCTTGTTGGGACACACTGCCTGTCCTTTAAAATATACATGCAAAACTAGCCACCTGGGGAATGTGACAAAGTCAAATGCAACAACTAAAATGCTTATTTTTTTTAAGGGTTTGAGTTAGTAGCTGTCAAAGTACACACTTTTTAAATGTTTTAATTTTGAACCTTTATGCAATTAACTCATTTTATACCACTAAATGACTGATTGAGGAGTTACTGGAGTAATCAGAAAGTGCATCAGAAAACAAACTATTCCTCAATTTTATTTACAACAATATTTGTAGGTATTTTGATGAGACTATTCTTTTATATTACAATAAGCAAATTAATGTTTGAATTGATTGTTTGAATTTGATTGTTTAATAGGGAGCAGATATAATAAGAAATGTTTTCTTCTGCTTCCTTTCATTTTATGTTTTTTTGTTTAATTTTTTTCTTTCTAAAAATTGTCATTGTTTTTTTTATGAAATGAATAAATTTACAATAAATAAATAAATAAATTTGCCCCTCAGTTTCAACAACCGACGAGACAGATTTTCCATGCAGCCTTGAGCCTGACTGCTCCCTCCGTCGACATAACCATTTCATTCTTTACCACGTTCCTTTCATCACCCTGCCTCCCGCGGACTCTGGAGGTGCACAGGATGTTTACTTTGTTTCTCCCTGAAGAACCGTCTCGGTCCTCTTGACCTAGTTTCATGGTGGAGCGTAGAGAAGAATGAGCGCTGAACTAACAAGTTGAGGAGGTGGAAAAACAGACCCCCAGTGTGGGATTACAGGAAAGTATGAGGACAGCGTAAATCAAAAAGTTCTTTTGACTCGATGTGAATGTTGGAATGGAGGAAGAACTCTGGCATTATTTTATTTGTATTTATTTTGAACAATTAATGTGTTGGTAATTATGTTCATGTTTAAACAAATGCCAATTATTATTCTAGAATTGTGCCGCTCAAGGTGGCTGCATGTTGGAGCAGCTCTGTTACTTTCATTTTGAGATTTTGCTTTTGGAAACTTTAATTCCTGTTTATCTGGATGTAAATCACATTTTTTGGATGGTTGTTTCCTCTGGTATCAGATGCTGTGCAGCTGGAAGGATTTTTACAGAATCTTTTTTAGTTTTGGACATTTGTTATGATGCGTAACCATGGCAACAAGGCAGTTTTCTACAACCAACAGCAGCTGATTAACATCTCAAAAGCTCAAATAATATTTCAACTACAGCCCCAAATCTCAAATGAGTTGAAAAGGATGTTCTGTGGATGCATTCCCATCTACCTGCCAGCTGTGCTCGAGTTTCTGACCACTCAGATCCTGGAACTAGCAGGAAACATGGCTCATGACAGTGGAAGGACAGGATCGTCCCTCGGCACCTACAGTTGGCTGTCCACAGCGACGAGGAGCTCGATAGACTGCTGGGAGGAGTGGCCATCGCTCTGGGAGGAGTTCTGCCTGGCATTCGGGCGGTACTACAGCCCGGGGGAACCGAGAGGCTGGGTGGACGGATCGGACGGCATCTGCAGCCAGTTTCTTATGATCCACTGTGGGATGGACCTTTACAAGAGATCCTTCCTGTCTACAGCCATCAGCATCTACAACATCTCTTAATGAAATGAGGATAACGAGCTACAGCAACAAATAATTTCCCTTTGGGATGAATAAAGTATTTTTGAATTGAATTGAATTGAATTGAAAAATGTCAGCAAGTTTTGTCTGTATTTACAGTTAATTTTAATGAAGCTAATGTTAGTACTCAGAAACAAATGTCAGGTTCTGTTGCTCTTAATGACATGTTTCCATCTTTTTGTTTCATTATTCTGTCCTTCCTCTTCTCTTGTTTGTTTTAAATTGCTGATGGGTCACATTTTCTTAAGCAGCTTTTTTATTTGCTGACATCATATTCAATTTAATGTGTTAGAAAACGTGTGTGCAGGATGAATTAGGATCTTGCTAAACACAAAAGTGGATCAATAAACGTCTCAATTCTTTAACTGAGCTACAGTAGTTCTCTCTAAAGTAACACTGGCAACAGTTAGTAAAACAATCTCATTCAGAGAATAAAAATTGATACACCTTAGAAGCAAAAAACCCAGATCTTATGTTTATTTAAGCTCCAAGATCTGGATTTTCTGTAGATGTTAAATTGGAGTTCTTTTTTTTTTTTTTAAATATATTTATATATATTAGATATATATACTTTAGAGAGAACTACTGTAGCTCAGTTAAA